ATGTATTGCAATATATTTGTTATTGTGTATTTTCAGCATGTCATCACCAAAAGCAAATGTTACAAAATACGAACAAATACAAATAATTCAGGTATTCAAAAATTTCGCAATCGACAGTACAAACATGCACATACAGTTTTATGAATACAAAACTAATGAATTATATTGGTTATTAATTGAACTAAAAAATTATAATAAATAGGAGAACTATGCAGCAATACCACTGAAGGATTATTTTCACCTAAAATTATATTTAGTTCAAGTAAAAACTGAAACCATATAGAAACATAAATAAATTTCGTTTCGCCAAATATTTGGCTGCAAAAATAAATACCTTCACTTTCGGGAAGTAAATCGAATATACAAAAACTTGTCGAAGTAGTCTTGTTGTATTATATTACCATTGCCATTATTATTATTATTATTATATGATCGAAAACTTTCACCAGATGCACGATTTTCGATTACGTAACCGTCGTGGGGTCAACACTATTATTGAATGCGTTCTTGTAAAGAAATTTATAAGTTAAAATGATTTTTTTATTAATATATAATTGTTAAAAAAAAATGCAAATATTTGGAAGAAATATTTGGCTTTTGTAGTAACACGATATTTATAAGAATTGTTTCAATAAAAAAAAATCGTGGTTTCAATACAATTTGTGCAAGGTTAGAAGCATAGAAGATTTCTCCTCGAGTAATGTGAATAAATTAATATTACTAAATAAAAATAATTATGAAAATTCTAATGAATATTAAAAATCAAACATAAACAAATTGTTGGTTCTATATTAAAAAGAATGTATACAAACTTTAGACAAAGTTATGTATCAGTATTATTATTACTAAATTGGCTAAATAAAATTTTCTCAAAATGAATCAATGAATGAAAAATTCTCTCTGAATTCAATTAGGTTTCTCACTAGGCACATGAGTAATAATATATTAATAGACTTTTCTAGTATATAGTGTAATTTTAGCTCAGTACTAGAATGTATAATAAACATTTTATAAATAAGAAATAAGGACGCCAAAAAACATGATTATATATAGAATAAATGAGAAAAATTACATTGTAGTCTTTTTTAGAACTTATAAGGACTTCCTAAAGTCCTAGAGATATTCATGATACTTTTATGAATTACTCAACATGAAAACTTTATTTTAAAATTTGTAACAATAAAATAAAACTGATTGAAAAAATTATGTTACAAAAGCCAAATAATAATTCAAAAGAAATCAATTATAAGCAGAAGGCATATTAAATATGAATAATAAAAATAGGGATGAAAATGAAGTAAAAGCATTTAATTTAGTAATTTAAGTTAGTAAATAATTATGACTACCAATCCTATTTAATTCATAATAATTTATTATTAACTCTTCTCAATATCTAACGCCTGAGGAATCCTGCTATGAAATTAATTGTTCAGATTGTGATTTAATGTGTATTGGTGAAATCAGCCAAATCTTAAAAAAAAAAAACATTTTGAACACAAAAAGTACTAAATAACTGAAAACAAAATAAAGACTTCTTTGCCATAAATGAAACTCATTTTAATATTTAACGCCTCAGGAATCCTACCTAAAAAATTAATTGTTCAGATTGTGATTTAATGTATATTGGTGAAATCAGCCAAAACTTAAAAAAAACGTCTTGAACACAAAAAAACTTTCAAAAAGTGCTAAATAACTTAAAATATCATAAAGACTTCTTTACAATAAATGAAAATCCTCTAAATATTTAACGCCTTAGGAATCTTGCCTATGAAATGAATTGTTCAGATTGTGATTTAATGTATATTGGTGAAATCAGTCAAGAATTAAAAAAAAATGTCTTAAATACAAAAAAAAAATTAAAGAAGTACTAATCAAATTTAAACTAGACAAAGCACATTAACACATTAAAACAGAATAAAAACTTTTTTAACCCAACTATACTTTATTTGTAAGTAAATTAATTTGAAAGACGTTTTGCTGAAGGTTGTTTCATCAAGCTTTATAATGAAAAAGCAATAAATAAATGACTTTCATTCTGGAAAAACCAAATATTAATTTTAAACCTTGAAATTACTGAAAAAAATGAGAATATCCAAGCATTAAATATCCTAAAAGTTTTCCTACTAATAAACAACATTTTAAATTTTGAGGCAAACAATTTTTAGGTATTGTTTTCTCAAAATAAATTTATCTAAATTTGCTTGTAATATTCCCAAAAATCAGCAAACAATATATAAAATGTTTTATTTAAAGATAAAAATTAAAATTAATCCTTAGTTTCTTTAATTTTCTCATTTTTTTCCAAATCTTCATAATTCGAGAAGTAGATATACAATTTTAAGATTAAAAATATATTTCTTCTGAAGATAGAAACACTCGTCAGTAGATTAACTAATGTTTAAATTAATCTTTAAAATGATTACTAATAAAATTTATTCAATTATAAAAGAAAGGACCTATTAATAACATTTATTCATCTTTGAATATCGATAAATCGAATATAATCTTTCAAGATTGATAAACCGATTAAATTTTGGAAGAAAGAACCCTACAAATTGTTACCAAAATAACATAAATTCATCATCTTGAATATATTTGGCACATGTAGACGGATAACCGATTAAATTAGCCAAGTAAAGTAAGACGCTACCTTATAAATAGTTATTAATAACATTCATTCATCATCTATGTATTTGGGACAAGTAGACTGATAAATCAATTAAATTATCAAAGAACGAACCTTGCGAATAAATTGTATTCATCATCTTGCACAAATTTGAAAATTTTGGCACTAGAAAAATGAAGTCGATTAAATTACTAATAAAAGAACCTTACAAATGGTTATTATTGACATTTGTTTAACGTCTTCCATATATTTGAAACGTATAGACTAATAAATCAACTAAATTGAGAACAAGGGAGCCTTGTAAATTGTTACTAAAACCATTAGTACTTATAAATAAAATGTATTCACAGTTTTGTAAATCTTTGCAAGTAGTACTTGCATAATGATAATTTAATTGGATTATATAAGAAAGAAGCATTTTAAATAGAATTTATCCATCATTGTGCATATCGTTGGAAATTTTGGTGCCCGCAGATTGATGAATCAAATTATATCTCATAAATAATTATTAATAAAACCGATGAAAGATCCTGGACATGTTAATTTTATCGTTGCAATGGATATCGTTGAAAATTTTGAAACAGAGATAAGTAAATTGACAAGTTATAACTTAATCAAGTTGTTTAAAGAATTTATGAATTGTCGTGCACATTTGTGCAAAGTTTGGTACATGTAGTTTAACGAATCAATTGAATTGTTAAAGCAACATATAAATAAACAGAATTTATTTATAATCTTGCATATCATTGAAAATTTTGACACAGATATAAAAGGATTGATCAAATTATAATTTATAGTTGTAATTTATAGATCTCATGAACTGTCTTGCACATGTATAGACATTTTGGTACATGTAGTTTAACGAATCAACTGAATTGTTAAATAAATAACCTTATGAATGAAATTTATTCATCATATTGCATATCGTTGAAAATTTTGATATAAAGATAATTAAATCGATCAAATTATAACTTATAGTTGTAATTTATAGATCTCATGAACTGTCTTGCACATGTATAGACATTTTGGTAGCTGGGGATTAACAAATCAATTGTATTATTAAAGAAACATAAATAAATAGGATTTATTCATAATCTTGCCTATTGTTGAAAATTTTGACACAAGGAGATAGATAAGTCAAGAAATTATAACTGAATCAATATGTTTAAAGAACTTATGTATTGTCCTGCACATTTGTGAAAATTTTGGTACCTGTAGTTTAACGAATCAATTGAATTGTTAAAGAAACAACCTCATGAATGAAATTTATTCATAATCTTGCAAATTGTTGAAAATTTTGAAACAAAGTGATAAATAAATCGATCAAATTATAACTTATAGTTATAATTGAAGAATCTCAAACTGTCTTGCACATGTATGGACATTTTGGTACCTAGGGATTAAAGAATCAACAGAACTGTTAAAGAAACAACCACATGAATGAAACTTATTCATAATCTTGCCTATCGTTGGAAATTTTGACACATGGACATAGATGAATCGATCAAATTACAACTTAATCAAGTTATTTATAGAACTTGTGAACTGTCTTGCACATATTCAGAAGTTTTGGTACCAGGAGATTGATATCAATAAAATTATCAACCTTGTGACTAAAATTTATTCATCGTCTTGGCCTATTGTAGAAAATTTTGACACATGGAGATAAATGAATCGATCAATGGTTAAATTTTGAGTTATCTATAGATCTGACTTCTAAATGTATGGACATTTTGGTACCTACAGAGTAACAAAACGAAAAAAAAATGTTAACCTAACCTAACTTACACCACCAACCAATTAATTGACTACATTATCAAATAAAAAACCATTTTCTCATCAACTTGTCTATCGTAGAGAATTTTGACAAATGGAGATAAGTAAATTATATCCGATGGTTATAATTTAAGTTATTTATAGACCTGTCTTGCACATGTATGGACATTTTAGTAGTTGTAGTTTAACGAATCAACTGAATCGTTAAACAAGCAACCTCATGAATAAAATTTGTTCATGATCTTGCCTATCGTTGGAAATTTTGACACATGGACATAGACCAATCGATCAAATTATAACTTAATCATGTTATTTATAGAACTTGTGCACAGTCTTGCACATATTCAGAAATGTTGGTACATGGAGAGACTAAAATTTGGTCTATTGTAGAAAATTTTGACACATGGTGATAAATGAATCATTCAAATTATAACTAATGGTTGTAATTGGAGTTATCTATAGTTTTATCTTGCACATGTATGGACATTTTGTTACCTAGAGTGTAGAAAAAAAAAAGTTAACCTAACCTAACTTACACCACCATATTGCACCCCCAACACAATTTGACAAATATGAAACAAATTTTATAACAACTCACCTCTGTATCTTTCTAAAGTCATATAAGATATTAACGCCCCTCTAGGCGATAGCAATCTTCTTGATAATTGTAAAAACCGTCCTCAATACTCAATCAATTACGTTTTCCTCAAAAAAACGTGTGCATACAAAAATCACAGTCTGAAATCTTCGCACTCTGAACACTCTGGTGTAGTTGTATTTAGATTAAAAAACGTTTTCCTGGGGCCTAGATGTTACTAGTGCCTCGATGGACTTTTGAATAATTTACTTGAATAAAATATCTAGAATAATCGATTTAAAAGCTGTTGTTTCGCACGCGAATAATGCCTTCTTGTCACTCTCGAATGGAACTCTCAGCAAACTGCGCAGGCAGATGGCCAGCGAATTGCGATCGATGACAAATGAACGCGGTTCGGCGCGAAGTTGGCAACGAACTGGGGGCGGGAGATTCGAAAATTGAAATTCAAATTATGAAAAAATAAAGATACAGATTTCATATTATTAACTTCCCGTAGTGTAGTAGACCTAAAAAACATTCAATTAGTAATGATTGGGAAAAGTGTTTATTAGTTTTCGGCAAAGGCATGCCCAGCCATTTCGAAGATACGGAGCTAAATGTGCAAAAATACTCTAATTTCCACTCCTGATTAAACTGTTCTAATTGGTTGTAAAGTAGATACAAGTAGCATGGAAAATTGCATTTATTAATCGATTTTAATAATTAACTAGTTGAAAGTGGCATTTTGCCTTAAAGCAAGTTGCATCAACTTGCATGTAATATAATCAACCAAAATTTATGAGATTTAGAAATTTAGATAAAATTAGTCAACTTAAGGACTTTAGATAAAGCTAGTGGTGTATGGCATCGTGCCTTAAGGCAAATTGCTGGAACTTCCAGTTCTGCAATGCAATTAATATTTGAAGAATATTACATGTTTTCAGTTATATTATTATAAATACTGTAACTTTCATTACTCGTATTTTATAGACAAAATATAAGAGCTTGTAGATTAGATGATGAAGTTTATTTAAGTTTACATAAAAAGTGAATAATCAAACGGTGTTAAAATGAAGGATCTGATCTCATATTTCTAAAAGAAGTGCAAAGTTAAAATTAATTATCTCAAGTATATAAATGAGCTTTAAAATTTTAGCTAGAATTAAAATTAAAATTCAAATTATTTTCGACCAAAAATTATTTTTTTTTGGAAATTAAAAAGAATTTTTTTGCTTTTCCCGAAAATAATTGTTCCATCAATGCAAACGAATAGTTCTTTGAATCATTCAAATCTGTTGCTTCGTTCTCTCAAAAACTGCCATTTTTTGCACATTTAGCTTCGTATCTTCGAAATGGCGGGACCTGTCTTTGCCAAAAACTAATCACCTTTTCTTCCAATGATTACAAATTGAATGTTCTTTAGATCATTCAAATCGGATGCTTCGTTTTCTCAAAAATCTAATTTCTATTTTCTGCACTCTTTGCTCCGTATCTCCAAAACGGCTCGACCTGCCTTTGCCAAAAACTAATCAGCACATCTCCATATCAATAGGAATCAAATATTTTTTTAATCATTCAAATCGGTTGATTCGGGTTCTCGAAATCACCGCACATACATACACATACACATACATCCATTTGTTCTAAGGTATACCACAATGTTCAGAAACCTTTGAAACGTAAAGATATATAACAATTTTTCTTTTCGATTTTTGTGCGATTACAATAACTTACCCTACAAAAAGTTAACCAGATTTACACTCATTTTATAAGATTTAGACTCATTGGAGTAGATTTGCAATAATTTCCAAATATTCACTCACTCTCTTAGATTTACACTTATTATAGTAGTGCCTAAGCAAAAAAATTGGTTGAGGATCTTCTGGAGGAATAAAGTTTTCCTAAAAAATATTGCATAAAATTTAAAAAAATATTTATTTATCATAATTATCTGCCCTGTCACAAAAGGAATTCAAGTTATGATTTCTGGCACATCTCAGCTGCTTTTCGGCAATAATAATGTAGACATTTCATTTTTCTTATTCATAATCATAAATAGGTTCATAAGTAAATTGAAATTTTTGGCACATGATAGTTTTCAGTAGTTTTCAATGCAAACAATGACATGTCGTTTTTTGCAATTTATTCTAATTATTTCTACAATATTGCACATACATCCCAGTACTTTATAAACGCATACATTCTAGAATATTTCCTTAACAAACTTCAAAAAGATTTATCAAAATCCGAATAATCGTTCAGTGAGTGTTTGTAATTTAATATGAACTTTATATAATAGCAATAAAGCTCAAATTGATTCAACGTTTTAGTTAGAAAACGTTTGTATGAGAAAAAGAAAAGGAATGTTTTTAGGGTTTTCCCGGCAATTATTCGATTTTAAAAAAGAATTGGCCAAATTGGTCCAGGCGTTGTTGAGTTATGCGCTTACCTTTGCTCAGCAAACTGTCTTATTATTTATAATTGATGATGACTATCAGAAAATTAGTATTGATGCTAAAAGAAATGGCTTTACTGATGAGCTAACTAAAAAATGAATCTACTAATAAGTAAATAGTAAAACAGCTTTCAGCAGTCTCGACTTATTGTAGATAAAATACTCCTGGAACACAAAGATCATAATTATTAATATACATGAATCAATTGGAAAGGTAATTCCAAGGAATAAGAATATAACATCAAATTATTAATAAAAAAATTTATTCATAACCACTTTAATATAAAATTTTATTCACCACATTTTAATTGTATCAAACAACAAGATTGACCTCATTATGAACTAATTAAAATCGTAAAATACATGTACATCAATAAATAATTATTAATTTTGTTTATATAAATAAAAACTAAAAGAAAATTAAGCGTTAAAACAACCTCTCTCAAAATAATTTTACAATTAAAACGCGCGATTGTTAAAATCAACGATTATATTTACATCCTCTTATTTGTTTAAAGTTTTTGTTATTTACACAATTTTATACATTATTTATAAATTAGGTAAATATATATTTATAATGTCTCTAACCTTTTTTACTTATTATTGTTTTTCTTATTATCTCTTACGTATAGGTGTAATTTTTAGTCAATTTAGCCTAGTTAGTTTCTTTTTATTTACAATTGTAGAGAGAATTCTAATCGCCTCCGGGAGGAGGCGGTCTTGGAGGCGTCGGAGGCGCTATTAGTCGGGCGAACACTTGCTGGCGACCACCAAGGGCCCCTGGAAAGGGTAAAAGATAATTAGTCACTTTTTAAAATAAGCTATGAGATTAGTCCGCCCCTGAAATTATTAACTTCCCGTAGGGCAAGTTACAGTAATCGCAAAAAACCCGAAAATGAAAATTTTTATATATCTTTACGTTTCAAAAGCTTCTAAACATTTTGGCATACCTTAGAAAAAATGGATTCATGTGTGTGTGTATGTGTGAGTGTGTGTGTGTGTGTGCGGATACAAATTTTCGTCGACGATTTCGGAAACACGGATGAAGCGATTTGAATAATTCAAAAAAAACATTCGATTCGTATTGATAAGGAGACGTGCTGATTAGTTTTTGGCAAAGGCAGGTCTAGCCGTTCCGAAGATACGGGGCAAAAAGTGACAAAAACGGTAACTCAGTTTTTAAGAGAACGATGGAGCGTCCGATTTGAATAATTCAAAAAACATTTTATTTGTATTGACTAAATAAAGAACTGTTTAAATTTTTGGAAAGGAAGGTGCAACGTCTTTGGAGATATGGAGGAAAAAGTAAAAAAATGAGCCATTTGGCGGTGAAAAATGATCATTAGACATATGCACATCAAATTATAAGATATTTTATAGAGATTTTAACAATAATTATAAATTTTGTTTACATTCCTATGGGTTCCTTATCAATGTTTATCCGTTAGACGGCGACGCGGCGCTTACGCGCTTCGATATTTCGTCTCTATGCAGTTAAAGCAGTACGATTGCTTTGAAAAAAGTTGAGAATTTCCAAAACATTTCAAATTAAATTTTTCTTCAAGAAGTCTTTTTTTTAAAAAAAAGTAAATTTTTGGCAAAAATTTATAGTTTCTCAAAAATCTAATTAAAATGTTGATCTAAGAAGGTTTGTTGAATCTGTTTTAATTTTTTTAAATTCACAATGTGTTAATAAGAGAAGTTCTTCTTATATTATATATATGTATGTAAGACTGATTTTTTTAATACTTGAACAATTTTTTAACACTTGATATTCTCATTTCTTCTTTTTCAGAATTCGAAATATTTCGATTACTCGATTTTATTTTTTAAAATTCTATATATATATACATATTTTTTTCTTTTTAGAACAAAATATTGATGTTTTAATTGTCAAATTTTATATAAAATAATTTTAAACTGGGTTGGTACATATAATTTTAGTTCTGTTTTATTTTATTTTATTACTCTTTTTATATTTCAGCTGAATGAGGAGCTAGAATAATAGCTCAAAACGTATTCAAGAAGATTTTATATTTTTTTCTGTTTTTATTTTTTCGACTTGTGGCTGAAAAACCTTATCATATATATATATATATATATATATATATATATATATATATTAATTTAGAAATTTGAACAAACAACACTCTTTTTTGCACTAATTTATTAAATAATAATTTCACAAACGTTTCGAGACTAGGTTTGTCTCATCATCAGTGTGTTATAATTTAAAATCTAAAATATGGAAACCTAAATTAGGATTATGTGTTATCCGTTCAATATAATTAGTATATTATTTACATTAACACACTGATGATGAGACAAACCTAGTCTCAAAACGTTTGTAAAATTATTATTTAATAAATTAGAGCAAAAAAGAGTGTTGTTTATTCATATTTCCAAATTAATATATATATATATACATATATATATATATATATATATATATTGTGATAAGGTTTTTCAGCCACAAGTCGAAAAAATAAAAACATATTTCCAAATTAATATATATATATATATATATATATATAATAGGTTGTCAAATATCTCCCTTCCGCCTTTTTGTATTATAAACCAATAGCAAAAAAGCGGAAGGGAGATATTTGACAACCTAATATATATATATATATATATATATATATATATATATGTATATATATATATTTACTTATTTATTTATTTATTTATTATATTCAATTATTACCTTTCCCCTGCTGTGCAATCGGTATGACCTTCAATCCTTGCAAAGTTTTAATATTGATAGCTCCCCCTTGAAAACCAGGCGGCAACAAAATCTGCTGCGTCAAAAGTTGTCCACTCTGCCCCTGACTCGTCAGAACCACCCTTTGTCCCTGCAGCGCGGACTGCGTCTTATTCTGCAACCCCTGAACCTTAATCGTCTGCCCTAACATAACCTGCTGCTGCTGATTCAGGGAAGGTTGATTTTGCACTTTCAATGTCTGTCCACTACTTAGCATCACTGTTTGAGGTTGGGTAATGATATTACCACTGCCCGGTTGGGTAATGATATTACCGCTGCCCGGTTGGGTAATAATGTTACCAGTGCCCGGTTGGGTTTGTGGACTTTGCACCTTTATAACCTGTCCTCCTAGAATGACAGTTTGCGTGTTGGTCGTCTGGTTTGTGTTGATGATGTTTAAGTTGCCCTGGGTGATCATGTTGCTTGGAGGACAGACTTTTAGAGTCTGTCCGCTTATAACTAAGTTGCTGTTGGATTCGCTTTGAGCTGCAGTTTGTAGTATCACATTTTGACCTTGCAGTTGACTTCCTTTGCTGGCCAAGATCACCGGTTTACCACCTATGTGCGCAATGTTCAAACCAGCAGTATTAACCATCCTAATAGTGTTCCCTGAACCGGACACCTTAACACCTTGTCTTATGATCCCTTGTTTATGGACAGGAGATGTGATGATTTTACCCTGAGCGTTCTGGATACCCAACAACTTAGCATTGACCAGCTGCTGGTTCAATTGTTGCTGTATCAGCTTCTGCCCACTTTGTCGAGGAGGTGTCGTTGTGATGGCTGGTTTTACAAGCCTAGGACTACTCGTGGTGGAATTAAGACTTGATGTATTCGCTACGGATGCTGTGACCATTCTGGCGTTGCTCATTGTAATTAAATTGCCTTGGGACACCATGGCAAACTGCTGGACTTGATTTGACGTGCCACTGGCTAATTGGATTAAATGATTTTGACCTTGTTTGGGAGTCACTCTTAACGTTTGACCACCTGAAAGGGTAATAGAAATAAAACAAAAGTCACATATTGACACATACGCCATGTCTACTTTTGTTGCAAAAATACTTCTAAATTACTATTATTATTTTTTTTACAATTATTAATTTCCCGTAGGGTAGTTAGAGTAATGGTCCGAAAATCGAAAATGAAAATTTTTGCATTTCTCGACGTTTTGAAGGTTTCTGAACATTTTAAGGGGCATACCTCAGAAACTAAATGGATGTGTATGTGTATGTTTTTGGGCGCATGAATCAACCGATTCGAATGATTTAAAAAACATTCGATTCCCATTGATAAGGAGATGTGCTAATTAGTATTTGGCAAAGACAGGTCCAGCAGTTACGGAGATAAAGAGCAAAGAGTGCAGAAAATACAAATCGAGTTTTTGAGAGAATGGAGTATCCGATTTGAATAATCCAAAAAAATTCAATTTGTAATGATTGGGAAAAAAGGTGATTAGTTTTTGACAAAGACAGGTCCCGTCATTTCGAAGATATAGAGCTAAATGTACAAAAAATGTCAGTTTTTGAGTGAACTAAGAGTCCGATTTGAATGATCTAAAAATCTTTCTGCTTGTATTGACAAAACAATTGCTTTTGAGGATAAAAAAGTATTACATCTTTTTTATTTTCCATAAAATATTTTTGTAATTTTGGATTGAAGATTCGAAAAATTACCCAGACTAAGCACAGTCTAAGCGCCACTCTGGGGCAAATCTTTACCCAAGTGTGTTTAGACTGTTCATCTACTGGAGCACTTTTTCAATTTTGTGAAAACTATTGAAGAATGTGAAAATGCCGCCAAGCTAAGCACAGTATAAGTGAAAATGTTGCACAGAACGGGAGCACTTTTTCAATTTTGTGAAAACTATTGAAGAATGTGAAAATGCCGCCAAGCTAAGCACAGTATAAGTGAAAATGTTGCACAGAACGGGAGCACTTTTTCAATTTTGTGCAAATTAGGCAACTATTTTTTTTTGTTGAAATACAATTCGAAATGAAATGACGATTGTTAATGTTCTGTATTTTTCTAGATAAATTGATTCATGATTTACATTTGATTTGCTCAGATAAAATAATGAAAATTACAGTATTTGTAATAATATATTTGAAAACGTTTAAAATTTCTCGAACATATTTCATTACGGTACGGGAAGTTCCAACAATTTGCCATAAGGCACGATGCCATACACCACTAGTTATTTTTATGATTGTTATTGTTAAAATACTTATTAATTAGTTAACTAAAAACTTATAATTTAAAAACACTTAAAAATTGTGAAACAAAATATTTCTTTCATCAAAATACCTAAAAATTTGTAAAAGAAAATACTTATATTGTAAAAATACTCAATAATAATAATAATAATAATAATAATATAAGACACTTAAATTTGTTAAAATATCATAAAATAACCTAAAATTTGTTAAATGAAATAATTATATTGTCAAAAGTATCGTACAGCTTATTAAAATACTTATTAAATTTTTGAAAAATATTTGCAACAAACAAACTAGTTATATTTAAAAATAATCAATACTAGTGGTGTATGGCATCGTGTCTTAAGGCAAATTGCTGGAACTTCCCGTACCGTAATGAAATGTTCGAGAAATTTTAAACGTTTTCAAATATATTATTACAAATACTGTAACTTTCATTATTTTTGCTATCTTGTTATATCTGTGCAAATCAAATTGAAATCATAAATCAATCAATTTATCTCCAGAACATTAACAATCGTCATTTCATTTCGAATTCAATTTCAAAAAAAAAATAGTTGCCTAATTTACACAAAATTGAAAAAGTGCTCCCGTATAGTCACAGTCTAAACGCATTTGCAAACAATTTTGTGCGACATTTTTACTTATACTGTGCTTAGCTTGGCGGCATTTTTACATTTTTTAATAGTTTTCACAAAATTGGAAAAGTGCCCCAGTACAAAAACAGTCTAAACGCACTTGGGTAAACATTTGTACCAGGATGCGCTTAGACTGTGCTTAGCCTGGGTAATTTCTTGAATTTTTAATCCAAAATTACAAAAATATTTTTGAAAAAAAAAATTAGAAACAATTTTTTTTTCTAAAAGCAATTGTTTTGTTGAAACAAGCAGAAAGTTCTTTGAATCAATTAAATCTGACGCTTATAATTAGTTCTCTCAAAACTTGCCATTTTTTTTAACATTTAGCTCTGTATCTCCGAAACCGCCGGGTCTACATTTGCCAAAAGCTAATAACCACTTTTCCCCGTCATTACGAACTGAATGTTTTTGAGATCATTCAAATCGGATACTCCGCTCTCTCAAAAACTCGATTGGTATTTTCTGCACTCTTTGCTCCGTATCTCCGTAACGGCTGGATCTGCCTTTGCAAAAACTAATCAGTACTTCTCCCTATCAATAAGAATCGAATGTTTTTAAACCATTCAAATCGGTTGATCCGTGCGCTCGAAAACGTGGACGAAAAAATGCGGACATACAAAACACACACACATACCAAAATGTTCAGAAACTTTCAAAACGTCGAGAAATGCAAACACTTTCAATTTCGATTTTCGGCCCTTTACTATAACTACCCTACGGGAAGTCATAAATAAATAAATAAATAAATAAATATCTTTACCTTGTTGTATGATATTAGACTGTTTCCCTAATAATCCTTCCACGGTAATAACTTGTCCAGAAGCATTCGTCAACAATTTCGTCATGATGGGTTGTTGGATATTTTGCGATTTGGAGAAACCCTTTGCAAATTTCCGCTCACCACCGAAACATTAGGCACATTTTTGGTCACAACAGCTGCTCCACTTGCATTTGCTTGCTGCAGCTGTTTCGGGAGCTGCTGCATCGCCTGCTGCTTCATCAGGACTTGGTACTGCCCGGTTTGCTGATTCTAGATAATAGAAAATATAGAAATATATAAATAGAGCACAAGATTCTACCCGTTCCATGCATTTTTCTCCTAATCACCCTCTGTTTTATAAAAAATAATGGTAACCTGTTTAATTTAAGCCCAAATCCCGAATGTATTATTATGACACAAGACATAAACTTGTAAAAGGTCCCACATTGAAATTGCCTCTACATTTAATACCTTAGATGGTCTGGGCATAATGCTTTACAATA